GTGAGGTTCCTATCGAGAATTGCTGCACAGTCCAGCGACGAGAGAGAGGCTCGCAATTCGCTGCGCTCTTCGATACCTGACCGAGGCTGTATATATCTCTTTCCAATCTTCGTGGTTCTAAGGTTCGAGTTGTAAATAGGCTAGGATGGCTCATGCAGATACAGTCAATATGTGCTCGCTCCCGCTCGCCAAAAATGCCGTGCATTCGCCTACTAGTAAATCTGAAAGCAAACAGAGTGTCAAGAACCTTATTAGTTACTCAGGAGAGTTAATAGTCAATAGATAGTTTAAGATGTAGTGTAGTACAGTTCACATGTAGCCATGTTATTATAATACAATGCGTTGCAAACAGCGTGCTATGCCTGCATTACTTAGCACTGTATCACTTTATTAACCCTTGGGGTGCATGCGCAGCGTCTGTCTGCGTGTGTGTGTCTGTTACCACGTTTTCTGCCACCACGTGCAACAAACCGGCCAAAAAAGCGACACCAACGGGTTCAGCGCTACACTGGCTTCATTTTAAAAATGGCGATTTTCATAAAAGCTGCGTTCAAAAGTTATGGCGTGAAAACCAAGTTAAGGAGATGATGTAGGGGGAAAGACCACCTGTTATATACCTGATGTGTCTATGGCGTAAACAGTGTCAAAAATGGTACGCGTACACACGCGCGGTCGATGAGGAGGTCGGTCTACTTTACTAAGAGGTCGGTCCGCTTTACTATTCGAGGTCGGTCCGCTTTACCAGGAGGTCGGTCCGCTTTACTAGGAGATCGGTCCGCTTTACTAGGAGGTCGGTGCACTTTACGTGGAGGTCGGTGCACTTTGCAAAGGGGCGGTGCAAATTCCAATTAATGCGCATCCTCGTGGCCGCAGGGAAATGGCAGACAAGTTCGAGAGAGCCAAGAATTTGCTCATCGGCGCTGTGGACACGGTCATCGCCCTTGCAAACCAGCAAGATTTCCCCTCTCAGGCTGCGGGACCTAGCACTAGTACAGCAGTTCAATCCGAAGTACCAGCATTCAAGAGCACAAACGCCTTTTCGGTTTCATACCCTCGAAGGGGAAGCGACCGCCAGGGAGGAAAGGGAAAGGGAAGCGCAAAGGTGCACTACCTGGAAGAAGGAGTGCATATGCCTACGACATACGGACGGATCAGATGTGGAAGCCTTCATCCGAGGAAAAAATTGAACTTGCAAGGATTGGCCTAGGCCTCGCGGAAGTTGTTTTTCATAGTGACGGTGATGGGGAACATATTCACAGTGTTTTGCTTCAAAAGTGTCCTGTTTTTGAGACCTGCGGTGGCTATACACTCATGCGGTTAGCTGAGAATTCACATAACATGGTTGAGATTGAAGGGCCAGATAGTGGTTTATCTGTGGCATATTTAAAGGATATCCACGCTAAGCTGTTTATCCGACCACTTCAAAAGGATATCACTGAAGTTGATATTCTGGCTCGAGTGGTGTAAGTTAATGCAAACACTATGACCACTGACCATACACTCAGAACAGACATACAAGTGCTTTACCACTCAGACACCCAAACTTACCTAGCCCCATGGCAACTCCCCAGATGCACCCTGAGAAACATGTACTTAGCCTTTCATGATATCTGACGACGAGGCAGATTGGGTGCAAGATCCTGCTGTACAGCTCATAATACAATCTTCGAACAAGGACAAGGACTCAGGGTAATGACTCTAACCACAGTGTCTCAGAGACTAATGTATTGCTCACTTTCAGAGAATCCACTCAGTCGACCGTTACCATTGAAGAGGCCATCAAACAACACCGAGCCAAAGTGCTATATCCAAATAGTACTAATGCTCTATGCATTACAGTTAGACGTGGCAGCATTTTGGACGATACCATATTTTCACTTCGTCCAGGATTTGATGAAAAGAAGCATATTAAAGTTCGTTTTTTAGGTAAGTTAGATGAATGCATGTTTGTAATTTGTAGGGGAGCCAGGTATTGACGAAGGAGGGCCCAAAAGAGAATTTTTTTATGTTGTTGCTGAATTCTATTTCAAACAATAGCTCACTTCTTGAAGGTTCCCCTACCCGAAGGGTGTTACGGCACAACACAAGTGCATTCCAGGTCCCTATTTCAGGTCTGTAGCGCAATATGGTTTTTAACTGCTTTTGCTCTTTAGGATGAGCTCTACCTTTATGTTGGACAAATTATGAGCCTTTCTATTATACACGGTGAACATGGACCTGTTTTCTTTTCCCCGACTATAATCGACTACCTGTTTGGTGGCATATCTTCTGCGTCCCCCTGTATTGATGATATCCCTGACACACAAGTCCAATCTAAGATAAGAAAGGTAATGACATGTTTCTTAGGCGTATAGATGGTGTAAGCTTTGTGTGTGTGTGTTAGACTACAAAGAAACAGTGTCTAGGCTAAGCATTGACGTTCACTTTTCTGTCATTATTTCCAACCTCCAAAGAGGACGACCTCCTTATAAAGGACAAAATGCCTGGTCCTAACATGTCCATTATTCAGAGGTTCCACTGTATCGACTATCTATTATGGTAGTGTTGTTTTGTAGCTCCGTACTTGTTCATTCTTCTTCTTATAGTGCTCAAACTAACACCCAATAATTCATCGATTTTAGGACACTGCAGACCCAAACTCAAAAGATGTTCAAGTTGTTCTGGTTTGATATCAAACTTTGGACATCCCCGTGAGTTCCTGACACTTACAGGAACCTGGTATCCTCCAGCTGATTCTGCACCTTTATCTTGATCTATTTCTTGAAGAAGACTCAACCCCACTGCAACAGAGTCCTATATCTCGTCGCTTGTCAAATCAAGCGCCGATGGAGCTTTTCAACAAGGAAGATAAGTGAGTCCAAATCATCGGGTACTTCTCCCTCCTCGAAGCAGACTAGTCGTTGCTTCACTCGCTGATATTAAACGCCACTCACATTCTGCAGTATTTCGTCGCCTGTACTCATTCTCTCCCGACCGACACTGTCCACTGCGAACGACTGTCCACCAGTCTTTCCCAATTAATGCCTACGTACAATAAACACGCATGCGCAGAGCACGAAAGACCACGCCTCCGCGAGGATCGACGCTCCTTGCAGTCCTGTTATTATAGGAAAGTTGCGACCTCCCATTCTACAGCAAATCGGACCGTTTTTTGATCGACCTTCTAGTAAATTGGACCGTCAACAGCGAATCGGACCATTTTGGACCGACCTAGTAAAGTGGATCGACCTCTAATTGTAAAGCGGACCGACCTCCTAGTAAAGTGCACCGTCGTCCACGCAGAAATAACGAAGCATGGGCATGCACTATCCTGGGTGTTTTACACATCTAATTCTCGATCTCACTCTCCGTGTTCCGTGTGTTTCTTTTGTTGTCTTGATCGCGATACAACAAACTGTCAGGCTATAGCAACCTGAGGCGGAGGCAACCAGGAGAGGTGGTCCACCTTTTCAGTGATGAAGGTAATCAGTCAGTGTATCCATGATCCACAACATCTCTTAACATAATTACCCACTTTATATGTAGCATGGAGCTACACTTTAGTGCACATCCTAGCTCACTGTAGCTGCCAAAGGTCCCGACTTTGATTCCTGGTGTGGTTTTTCTCAACTACTTTTTTGCGTCATTAATAGTGGACCGACCTCCTAGTAAAGTGGACCGACCTAGTAAAGTGCACCGACCTCTTCATGAACTAACCGACCGCCAAAACCGAAAGCGCATGCGTACCATTTTTGACACGGATTACACGCCATATGTGTCAACCTGCTAAAGTATGCACTGAGAGCTTATGTCCAGCTGCTGTTTCCCTGTTGTTTTTCTTCCCACAATATATTACATATAGGGGGAACTTTCTCCTTATTATAGGCATAATTGAATACTTGGTCGACATGGCCCATGGAAGAAAGCAACACATTTTTTGCGAGCAAAGCAATATTTCGCATATGTTTTTACACGTACGTATTTTAGAGTCACATATTTATACATTATTATATGTACAGTGCTTATTATACAAAAACACACTGGTATATATACCAAGCACGAAAGCACATGGTTATTGTTGATAGCAAAATGACATGGAGTGATTATTAAATTGGGGCAATAGTCACGTATAATGGCAAGCTGAATGTTAAACACTCAGCGTCAGAGTTCAAAAGGACCTTCGTCGGTTTGGTTTGTGCTGTAAAGAGGCTCTTCAGCATCTTCATCTAGAGAAAGAATTAGTTCAGCTCAGTGCAGACTAGAGCGAGGAATTTATCACTAAGTACAGTACAGTTAAGGATGGGCATCGTAGTACCTAGCGTCAGAGATGGGGCTACGATAGGAAGTTTTATTTATCATCTTTTTCTTTTTCTTCTTTTCAGTTTTATATCATTGCACACCGATGGCTTATGAAAACACCATCATTAATTATTAATGACGCAAAAAAGTAGTTGAGAAAAACCACACCGGGAATCAAACTCGGGACCTTTGGCAGCTAGCTACAGTCAGCTATGAAGTGCACTAAAGTGTAGCTCCATGCTACATATAAAGTGGGTAATTATGTTAAGAGAGGTTGTGGATCACGGACAGACTGACTGATTAGCTACCTTCATCTCTGAAGAGGTGCACCACCTCTCCTGGTTGCCTCCGCCTCAGGTTGCTATAGCCTGAGCGTTTGTTGTATCGCGATCTAGACAACAAAAGAAACACACGGAACACGGAGAGTGAGATCGAGAATTAGATGTGTAAAACACCCAGGATAGTGCATGCCCATGCTTCGTTATTTCTGCGTGGACGATTGGTGGCACAACATACGAGAGTTTCCAGCAGATGAGGGCAATGGCAAGGACAATCAGAACAACCACCACCAGTGCTCCAGCTGCCCCACCAGCAACTGCTCCCACATTCAGTGAACCTTTCATTGAAAAAAAGGACCAATTAGATGTGCATCATGACTGAGCAGACAAACAAATGGTTGGTTAAAAGCATGCAGGGAGGATTATGAAACCAGCTCTATTTGTAAAATACCACTTGCATATTGGGAACAAAGCACCTGCATATTAACACTACCTTTGCTGTTGGCATCAGCAACACAACTTGGGACATGAGTGTTATTCCAGACTCCAGAACTGGTGCACAGCTTACTGCTGGGCCCACTCAGAGTGTAGCCGTCATTGCAAGAGAAAGAGACGACCGTTTTCTGAGACGTCTCATTGGAGTCACCGTTGACATTGTCGGGGAGATTCATCTTCAGGCAGTTGACTGGCGACAGGAGAAATGTATATATAATACTGGTGTCATTAATAACCCAACAAACACACAATTGCAAACGTCAACATAAAATTAGTCATTTCAACTACTTTACATATCAAACTCATTTTGGCACACGGCTCTTGTTACATATGTGCAACGGTGGGTTCTAGTAATGTTACACATTCATCGTTTTCTATGTACTTCGTATATATTATACAGACTCATATGTTGGGAAGTATGTACATATGTACTCCTAACCTTCCTTGCATCCTCCAAGGGTTGAACTCCACGTCTGATTAGAGCGACACACAACAGCAATGTCTCCAGTGCTGGAGTCAAAGGTGTAGCCATCGTCGCATTCCGTACTGACTTTGGTGCCAGCAGTAGTGGTTGGCGTGCTGAGACTGCCGTGGGCTGGTTTGGAAAGCTCTGGACATTTTGCTAAAGAACAGGACAAGAGCCTTTATTCAGCACACATGTATATACATTCTTTATAGGATTAGAATAATGTCAACACACATGTACATTCTGTATCTGCTTATAAATTGAATATATACACCTATGACATGTCAACACATTCTGTGTTACTTACCTTGCTTGCATCCACCTAGGCTTGAGTTCCATAAACCACCGACACGGCAAACCACACTTATACCTCCAGTTGTGGGATCAAAGACATAGCCATCATCACAGTTGACTTGCACTGTGGTCCCTGGTCTGGTGTCTGAGGAACTGAGTCTACCATTGGGTGGAGTAGAAAGCGCCACACAGCTCACTGGGGAAAAGCAGAAAATATATCATTTAAGAGAAAGGGAGGCATGTTATAGACACAAGAAGCAAACCAGAAATTTGCCCTTAGATTTTAAAATGCATGTGTATCTTTTTCCCAACTATGACCGAGCCTTTAAAAATCTCCACGTGCATACACTCATAATACATATTTTCAGAGTCTACATCTACACACGTGTACAGTAAAGTAATTATGCCAACTATTATAATATAATGATGTGTACGATGAACATTAATTAATTAAGCATGCAGGTTCAGACATAGTACGGTAGGCTCTTTGTATGCTAACCACTAGTGCAGCTCCCCAGAGTGGCGTTCCATGTTCCGTCAGAGCGGCACAATGTGATATTGTGTCCAGTATTTGGATCAAAAATGTAGCCTTGATCACAGTCGACGAACACCGTGGTCCCAGCACTGGTACTACCAGTACTGAGTCTCCCGTTAGCTGGAGTAGTCAGCCCAGGACAGGTCACTGAAGAAAACATGAACAATACAACTATATATACGTACATAGGCCAGTGTGGTTATATAGGAACTTCACTGACAGAAAAATGAAAAGCACTAAAGTGCCAACCCTCGGCTAACTGCGCATGCGCGGTACCGCTAATTGATGGGTTGGGCTATTGTAGTACTAGTTAACTTGTGGTCTCTTGCTAGTAGCTCACGGAGAGTCTGACACGGGCTAGCTACAGTAGTAGATAGCATGCGGCAGTCGATACATGCCCTTTGTTATGACTTGTTGTGCCTTCAAGATACACAGAGCAATCGGACCCGGTCGAGGTAAGCCTGTGCTAATTTGCATATTGGCTTGTTCTCTTGCTTTTCAGGCCATAACCTCTGAACTTTTACGAAAATCACCTTTTTAAAAATAAAGCCAGTGTAGCGCTGAACCCGTTGGTTTCGCTTTTTTACCTGTTTGTTGCGCGTGGTGGCAGAGAACGTGGTAACAGACGGACAGAGAAACCAACCCTCGCTGCGCATGCGCGCCGAGGGTTAATAACTTTTGACAGGCTAGAGATACGAGTCAAATACTTTCCATCAAAACATGAACAATGCAATGTTCCCTCGTGTGAATGACTTCAGGTTCTCTGCTAACATTTTTGGGTCCTTGCGAGCACGGATTTAACAAGCGATATTTTTGTTTTCTGTGTGTGTTTATTTTTCAGGCTCACGTAGTTCTGAAGCCACTGGTATCGCTAATGGGCCCGCCTCGTAGCCTGTAGTGCCAGAATAAGCGTCAACACACAGACCGACAAACCAACTACCGTAACCCTCGCTGCGCATGCGCGCCGAGGGTTAAAAATGCTCCTCTTATATCAACCCTCACATTACATCATTATAAAAAGTGACACAAACCGGGAATCGATCAGGGATCTCAAGATCAAATGTGTGATGTCTTATCCATCAGACCACACACAATACTTGAGCGGGCAAGGTTTAATACTGCATTATAGTTACAACTCTTCTAGCACTAACTTTTATGGCGACTATGACAAGCACTTATGTTTCAAATCCTATACATACAGCCACATTTCCCCCTCAAACCTAACCTTCCTTGCATCCTCCAAGGGTTGAACTCCACGTCTGATTAGAGCGACACACAACAGCAATGTCTCCAGTGCTGGAGTCAAATGTGTAGCCATCGTCGCATTCCGTACTGACTTTGGTGCCAGCAGTAGTGGTTGGCGTGCTGAGACTGCCGTGGGCTGGTTTGGAAAGCTCTGGACATTTTGCTAAAGAACAGGACAAGAGCCATTATTCAGCACACATGTACATTCTGCATCTGCTTATAAATCGAATATATACACCTATGACATGTCAACACACGTACATACCTTGCTTGCATCCACCTAGGCTTGAGTTCCATGAACCACCGACACGGCAAACCACACTTATACCTCCAGTTGTGGGATCAAAGACATAGCCATCATCACAGTTGACTTGCACTGTGGTCCCTGGTCTGGTGTCTGAGGAGCTGAGTTTACCATTGGGTGGAGGAGGGAGTGCCACACAGCTCACTGGGGAAAAGATCATTTGAGAGAAAGGGAGGCATGTTATAGACACAAGAAGCAAACCAGAAATTTGCCCTTAGATTTTAAAATGCATGTGTATCTTTTTCCCAACTATGACTGAGTCTTTAAAAAATCTCCATGTGCATACACTCATAATGCATAATCTCAGAGTCTACATCTACACACGTGTACAGTAAATTAATTATGTCAACTATTATAATATAATGATGTGTAGGATGAACAGTAATTAATTAAGCATGCAGGTTCATAAATAGTACTGTAGGCTCTTTTATGCTAACCACTAGTGCAGCTCCCCAGAGTGGCGTTCCATGTTCCGTCAGAACGGCATAATGTGATATTGTGTCCAGTATTTGGATCAAACATGTAGCCTTGATCACAGTCGACAAACACCGTGGTCCCAGCACTGGTACTACCAGTACTGAGTCTCCCGTTAGCTGGAGTAGTCAGCCCAGGACAGGTCACTGAAGAAAACATGAACAATACAACTATATACATGTGGTTATATAGGAACTTCACTGACAGAAAAATGAAAAGCACTAAAGTGCAAACCCTCGGCGAACTGTGCATGCGCGGTACCACTAATTGATGGGTTGGGCTATTGTAGTACGAGTTGATTTGTGGTCTCCTGCTAGTAGCTCACAGAGAGTCTGACACGGGCTAACTACAGTAGTAGATAGCATGCGGCAGTCGATACATGAGCTAGCCAGTGTCAGACGCTACTAGCGGGAGACCACGAGTATACTACATACTAATAGCAGCCCAGCCCAGCCCATCAATTAGCGGTACCGCACATGCCCAGTTCGCCGAGGGTTTGCACTTTAGTGCTTTTCATTGTTTTCTGTGTGTGTCCTTCAGGAACAATGTACTATAGGCTGATTCTCTCACAAACCTTTGAGACAGGTAGGAATACCAGCACTCCAGTGGCCAGAAGTCTCACAGTCAAGGTGACCGTGTCCTGTCAGACGATAGCCTGAGTCACATGTGAACCCCACCACCGTACCCTCAGTCACACTCGTAGTGTTGGCACGGAGTGGAGGTGACACACTCAGGGTGGAACATGACACTGTACAGGAGGATAGGGAGTACATATACAGACATAGATCAATTGTAAAGCCTATGGACATTCATGCTGCATGTCAACAACGATATCAAAGCAAAGCAAAGACAAATAAATCAACTACACCCAGGAAAACTCTCTTTTTCCAAGGAAAAAAGAAGAGCTGTCCTAGGTGGGATTCGAACCACGACACTCTGCAGTCTAGGCAAGCACTCTACCTAATGTGCAACAGGCAACCGTGACACCTCCCATGCACTAGTGTGAGAAATTAGTAAGGGCAAAAGCCCCTAGAGCTACTGCAGATCATACACTACAGTATATGCATTGCTGAAGTTAAATATCATCCTACATGACCCCTACCTCGCGGCCTGCAACAGACACAGTCTGGAACAGTCCCGTTCCAGACTCCGCTACTGAGACAAGAGATTACTCCGTCTCCACGAATGCGGTTGTCTCCGGAGCAGGTAAAGGCAAGCACAGTCCCAAGTGTAGTTCCTCGTCCAGTAACCACTGACACTCGAACGTTTGCGCTGACATTTTGGGAGTACGGTGGGCAGATAACTGTAGATCACAATATTGTACACAGATAGAGAAAAAAGGGCAGACAATTTAAAAGTCATTGGATAATTGCATCATATCAATTAACCTTGTTTGCATCCTCCCAGAGTAGAATTCCACTGTCCATCAGAACCACATGTTACACTGGGATCTCCTCCAGTCGTGGGGTCAAAGGTGAAGCCAACATTACACACAACACGGACTGTGGTGCCTCCAGTATTGTTTGAGCTACTTAGTCTCCCATTAGTCGGAGTGGGGAGAGCTGGACACCTTTCTGATGACAAGAGAAAGGAGATAAGTATACGTTCTTTTCAGTGCCAGTTTATATCAATAGGCTGTATATAGCTCAATGGTATACATATGCGTCATTGCCAGTCATCAGTATATATGACTGCAGGTATTAATTCTCACAGGTTTGGGTTCTGTGTGTCAAATAGTCATTTTCTTTGCTAAATGCAAGCTAGCCCTTGCTGCTTTTATACATTGTATCAATGCAACCAGTGCTCAACAACATGCTATTTTCCTGCATTCTAATTGAGTAACTCTATCGCAATATGTTGTTGCCACTTTTTGTCATCACATGACATAATATACAACCACTCGTGTTTATTGACTAACCATTTTCTCCAGGAACACAGTAGGGGAACGGTCCACTCCACACTCCCGGGCTCAGACAGGTAACAGTGTACTCTCCGTGAATATGATAGTTTCCTAGACAGCTGAACCTCAGGACCGTTCCTATTGCAGTTCCTCCACCTTGTTCCACATACACTAGAAGATTTCTGCTGATATTCTGAGAGTACGGTGGACACACCTCTGCAAAATGGAGGACAGTTGGAGTAGAGAAAAGGTTCCACAACCAATTTGCTTTCAATAAACAGTCCTTCTTATACCGGTACTTTAGATGGTCGGAAAATAAAATACACACAAATGGGAAAAAGCATGAAATTGGAAACCCTCGGCATACAGAAACGTTGAACCCATACACACGCACTGTACCGCTAATTGATGGGCTGGGCTATGCGATATACTCGGTTACTCTCTAATAATTTAACCTTCGCTGCGTATGTGCGCTGATGGTTAATGAAATCACTTGAAAGTGCACCATCCTCACCACTGTAGTCACAAACTAATTATGAAGAGTGGTAATTTTGTGGTGCTAGTTTTTCTGACATTAATACAAAAGCAGAAATGCATAATTGTGTAGGGAGGGTAATAAACACACTATCCTATGCTAAATTTTGTTATAGATATATACCAAATCAAAAAAAAGTAATGGGCAATCTGAGAGTATGTTAAGAGGCTTAAAAAATTACTGGCCCTACACTTATCAAAACAGGTATGTTCCAAAAAATGGCAAACCCTCCATCTATCCAGAAAAAAATGTTGAGAGGCTTAAAACCATTACTGGCAATGCAATAAAAAAAAATTCATGAATAAAAAAATATACACAATATCATTGATTGTTTTAGGAAAAACAATATACTTCTTAAGGTTGAAAAAAATAAAAACATATGGGCCAGCCCTTCCATCTCTCCGGACAGACGTCTTAGGACGCAGTGCTATGCCGAACTATACGCTGCCCTTTGAGAAACATGGGTCAGTGGTAGATTCATGGGTAAGGGGAGGAACCAGAGCTGTTCCCAGCCAATGCTCTGGACCATCTGACAGTTTCAGTGCGGGTCTGGGATTCGAACCGGGCACCTTATGTGACAGTCCCCACGTCTCTAACCACCTAGCCACTCGGGCTGGCCACGAAAGCTGATGAAAAAAGGCTCCTCTTATATCAACCCTCACATTACATCATTATTAAAAAAAATGACCAAGACAGGGATCGATCCGGGACCTCACTTATAACTCTTCTAGCACTAAGTTTATGGCGACTATGACAAGCACTTAAGTTTCAAATCCCATACACACTGCCACATTTCCCCTCAAACCTAACCTTCCTTGCAGCCACCAAGAGTAGAGCTCCACGACCCAGTCAGACGACACACCGTGCTGGGATCGCCGGTGGTTTCATCGAAGGTGTAGCCATTGTCGCAGACAACACGAACACTAACACTTGGGTCAGTGTCCGTAGTACTCAGACGACCATGATTAGGACTTCGAAGAGTGGGACAACTGACTAAGAGAGAATGGCAGGTACAGCATTATTAATAACAAAACAAAACATTTATTAACTTCCTCGTCAATGGAGGAAATGCTACACTTTAGAACTTTAATTCAGACTTACACAAATTTGCCTGATCAGGAGCAGGCAATACACGGCACAATATGCTGCCAATACAAATACAATCTTATTCAGTCACTATATACTCCGAGGTCCGCCGCAATGGTCGGTTTGTAGTACAACATGTGGAGACAACAGCACGAGCTTTACTACATAACTAGAATCTTATTTTCCTTGGCATAAGCCATGAAGATTAACAACATGCGGTCGGAACGTTTTGAAAAAAGTAGAGAGAGGGGGAGAATGAAGTACAGTGGAACATATGGTAAGGGACCCTGCGAGATAGGGACAACCTCTCAACAAAAGACGCTTGTTTCAACCCCATGCTTAAAATCCTTGTTACTTCATATAAGACTAAGTTTTGAGTAACGAAATTTGTTGTTGGTTACCCAATGCATAGTATGCCATAAGAAAAACAGGTTATGAACATGAGTTACGAGCTAAGAACAATTAGTGTATTATTTGACCTCCGAGATAGGGACGGGACGACCTCTCTACAAGGGACAAAGTCCTTGTCCCCATAGTGTCCCCTGTTTGGAGATTCCACTGTACATTACCTGAGCAGGCCGGAGTGTGTGGAGTCCACTGTCCATTTGCAGCACATATGGCATAGCTAACAGAGAGCGTTGGATGGTACCCGTTGTCACAGGTGATGTCCACCCGAGTGCCCTCTGTGTATCGATCAAACTGTTGGTTACTAACTCTGAATTGTCCATGATCCCAAGAAAAGTTACGGCACACTGCAAAATCTATGAAAAAGAAAAAAGTGAGATGGCGAGGCTAGGTACTGCAATGGACTTTACGAATACATAGAGAGAAGAGTATACAAGATGACAAACATTGCACAATCGTAGCTCACCAGAGCACACAGCACTGGCATCTTCTCTGTGATTACAGTCGTGAACCTTGACCCCACTGTGGGAGCAGTCGAGGAGGGACTCCTCGTGTCCAGTACATATGAAGTCATCGAACCAAATGACCCCGACTCCACCTCCGAAGAAGCTTCCTCTGGGAGCCGACTGAGCCGATTCATGTCCCGACATCCGACACACAACGTCAGCATCATGAAGACCCCAGCTGCAAGAAATTTTTTAATACACTGTGGATACATACCTCTCCAAAAGGACACCCTTGAAATGACGACAACTCTCTAAAAGCTACAGCATATAATTGTAGCATGCGGTTGACCTCTATCTATGACACCTCTCTAAAAGGGACACTTTTTCTTTAGTCAAGAACAGACTCTCGTATGACTAAAACACAGACACCTCGCTAATATAGGCACACTCTTCATTCCCATTGGTGTCTGGTCTCCACTACCAAGTCTGAAATCTCAACAAAGAATACGTTTTCTTCCGTGTGCCACGGCTGTTTCGATTGCGCGTTTGCGGACATTTAGTTGTAAATGTGACGTCATAAAAAAATTTTAAAATACGGTATGAGCTTGTTCCGTTCCGTTTCTAGTCAGCTCTTTTGTGCAAAACGTGAGGTTTTTGCTGAGCTGGCAGTGCTAGCCGCGGAGAGGGCTCTTTGCTGAGCGTTCTCGTCCAAGCCGTTTGCAGATACTCCGAAGTGTTAGTTGTTTAGGTTCGCGAGTACTCCGGTGACTCTGACCCCTTGTAACTTTGCCGTGCCAATTTTGCCAGCGATGACTCTGTGTCAGAACTGAAGGCAAAGGATGCAGGAACGTTGGGAACGTTGAACCGTTCTACTTCGATTTTTTTCTAGAGCGCGACAGAGGAGCCCGAAACATGGTTAACCCGAAAGGCCAGGTGCGGGATTTATTATGTGAGTTACCCAGAGATATGTAGCTAAGTCGTCTTCTGCGCTAGGTGGGAGGCAGTGCAGCTACATGGCTAGGTAGAGACTTGAGGAGGTGGTCTGTGACGACGCGGCGGAGTCTCTCCACGGGGTCGTGGCGCTGATTCCTGTGGCGGACTTCAATACGGTTGAACTCCGCATGTATGCTCTCCGCGCCTTGTCCCCCCATCAGTCCGAACCCTACACCACCCCACTTCCTAATCCATTTTGTGGCATCTTCTGCAGCAAACATGCAGTGACTCCAGTAGCTTCAGTATGACGGCTGGAGCACTGATGATCTGGGTGGCATCTAATGGATGCGACTGAATACAGCAGGGACAGGTGAGTGGGTCCAGTGTGGGAGTGTGTTGTACCCATGCACACACACATGATGTGCAGCATAGTACTCCACATGGGAGTTGGAGAGGTCTGTCCAACACTCCCAGACATAGAGGACATTCTACATCTCTCAATGTGAATGGTGAGTTAGGGGGGACTATGAACTCAATAGCCTCCTGTGTGATGAGGTTAGGTGGTGGACCTAGTTGAGAGATGGTCTTCATCAAATTTTGTCGTGGACCGGGACGTCCCTTGCCACCACTACTCCGCTTTTTAGGTCTCCCTGCCCGGTGTGACTGACGAAAGTGCTCACAGGTCTACAATAAGTAGAATTTTTTGGCTGTTGTTATGTGTGCATGTTTGTGTTATGTTTACCATGCAGTTCTCAGAAGTGTGTTTGTTCAAAATCATTGGTGAACAGGACGTGGATCTCTTCATAGAGCAGTAGCAGGAGTGACAGAACTCTTGGGGGTGGATTGCAGGGTCATCGCTCTCTAAGGGCAGGCCATACACTGCCTGTAGATCCAACCTGTGCTGGACGACATTGTATTTCGTCTCTCCACTGCTGCAAAGCTTCCCACAAAACCGACAGTGTTTATGAAGCTCAGTCTTGTGGAAGTCTTCCCCTTCGGAACTCATTATGTACCTACAATTTAGTGTATTTTGTAACTGTCACTACTCTCTGAAAAAAATTAGAAGCTACTTTTCCTTTGGTTTATCTGGTGCAGTGATACATTCTCAACAGCTAGCTTAGCTTCTCTTACATCGGAAAATTCCTCGCTTCCCGCTAAGTGGATAATACCAGAGGCACTCCCCACGCAGCTGTTGTGGGATACCTCTAGAGAATGCGTGCGCGGTTGTCATAGCGCAGTGTGGGCGCTGCGCCGAATGTGCTATAGTATCCAGGGAGACCAGTCCGACCAACTAGGTATGTGTGGAATGCCCAAAGGAAAAGCCCGAGGCCATCAAGGCGCTTTGTTTTCCCCCGTTTGCAAACCGCGACGTCCGGTTTTTTGCACGATCACGTAACCAAGGAAACCGCGCCTGCCGTAATTCGCGTACGCGTTCTAAATAAACGCTAAATGTCCACCGGAAAACAGCCGTGGTGCAAGACAATACGCCATCATGAACGTAACGAGTTGTTACACCTACTGGTCATCACAGACGGTGCCCCATCCCTGGTTGTCATAGTTGACCTCCACTCTCCCTGACGACGAGTTGTCACCATCTACTAGACGAACCTCGAGGGTATTAGCTGATGTCCCAATAATATTTGGAATAGGAAAATAGATAAGCAAACTTAATGACACCCATAGAGATAATACCGGTCTGTATGGAGCAACACCAGGTGAATTAGTGTGGAGGGCTTTGGGAGCAAACACCCACAATATACACCAAATCATGATTTAACCAATCCTTAAAGGGAATCTGGCAGTATGTATATAAGTAGAAATGTTACTAAAGATAGAACAAAACAATAGGGCACAGTGAAAGAATGCAATTAAGTTACTACCCTTATATACTGACACATTCCCTTTAGTTTTTCTTTAGGCTATACAGAACCTTTGCACATTAATGTCCTTACACATATGTATGTACTTACGGAGGCATCGCACGCCTACGTCTGCAGAATGCTGACAGTTGTTCTCTCCAAAGTCATTGTGGGCACAGTCCTGGATGAACATCTCCGTACCAGCACAGACAACGTTGTCCAGCCAGATGTGCCCTGACCCTGCTCCAAAACTGACGAAATGATACAAGGTATATACTGCTTTCAAATAGTGCTTCAGGCCATAGGAAAATTGTAACTAACCCTAGTACTTACCACATGTAAAAACGAAAACATTTTAATGTGTGTATCAGTATATGTTTTACGTGTGATACAAAGCCAAAACATGTTGTAGTAAGTGATTAAGAGGGGCCTTACAACATTTTTGAACTGAATTCCACTATGCTAAGTTATAAGAAAAGGATTTTTAAATATTAGGGTAAGCACAGTTGTAATATACATACTCGTGTAAGAAGTCATTGGAATCGGCTCCTGGGAAACCGAGAGACTTGCAGACAACGTTAGCATCACTGAGAGTCCAACGGTCGTCACACACGGTCCCCCACTGGTTGTTGTAGTAGATCTGGAGCCGACCCTCGTTGGCTGAGGAGCCGTCAATTAGTTGGACTGGGTAGGGGTTGTCTGGTACAGCTGTGGAGGGTCATGTGAAAAGACTATGGGAATGAACTGTTTGGGGGCCAAGAACACATACATGCAATAATTTCACAACACTGTATATACAAAGCTCTAGTAGCCTAAATTCAATGTGCACTATTACAGTGAAGCTGTATGGTGCATAATACAGCCCCAATGGATAAAGTAAATTATAGGACGGCTCTTCATTTACGACTAAGTGTACTTCTTAATGAAGTATAAGAAGGAAATTTTAAGACCTGGTTTATGTGAAACAGGGTTATATGAGAGACCCTAACTGTATTGGGTCGAACCTGGGTTCGGTTTAACCCAGCCATTCTCACGTGCCATGCTAAAAATGAATCTTGAGTTAGTTCACAGGTAAGGAATCAAAAAAAACATTCGAGGCTCTTTAACATACATACATACATACATGCATGTGCCTATACGAAAAAAAAATGCAATAGGTCTACATGTTATACCTGTACAGACAGCTGAGGCATCTTTGGAATGGTCACAGTGTGTGTGACCCCAGTCAGAGCGAGAGCAGTTGAATATTGTCGGTTCTGTTCCATCACACCGCACATTATCCAACCATATCTGATACACACACAGACATTGAACATTGGAGAGAGGGGAATCAAACAGTATCTGATACACACACAGACATTAAAAGAACACGGAACATTGGAGAGAGGGGAATCAACAATCTGATACACACGCAGACATTAAAAGAACACGGAACATTGGAGAGAGGGGAATCAAACAGTATTTGATACACACGCAGACATTAAAAGAACACGGAACATTGGAGAGAGGGGAATCAAACAGTATCTGATACACACGCAGTCATTAAAAGAACACGGAACATTGGAGAGAGGGGAATCCAACCATATCTGATACACACACAGACATTAAAAGAACACGGAACATTGGAGAGAGGGGAATCAAACAGTATCTGATACACACGCAGTCATTAAAAGAACACGGAACATTGGAGAGAGGGGAATCAAACAGTATTTGATACACACGCAGACATTAAAAGAACACGGAACATTGGAGAGAGGGGAATCAAACAGTATCTGATACACACGCAGTCATTAAAAGAACACGGAACATTGGAGAGAGGGGAATAAAACAGTATTGATACACACGCAGACATTAAAAGGACACGGAACATTGGAGAGAGGGGAATCAAACAGTATCTGATGCACAAACAGACAAGAAAAAATCGCAAGAACATTAACGAGAAAAAGAGAAAAGATGGTGGAACACTCACTCTTCCACTTCCTGCTCCGTATATTGATCTGTGTGGAGCACTCAGAGCTCTGACAAAGCCGAGCTCCCGGCAGACAACGTTGGCATCGATCTCACTCCAGTGGTCGTCACACACTGTGCCCCACAGTCCCTCGTGGAACACCTCCACGCGACCCTCGCCTGCCGTAGTACCGTTCACCAGTCGGACCCTCGGACCACTAATTGCCACTGGAGGTGAAGGTTAATACACTTATGGATGGTAAAGTCCACGTTTGGAGCCACATACACAAGTTCATAAAACCAATGCAAAGCATTTGGCGAGCAAACGCGATTAGTTCAATTTTCCACATGCGTATTTGCAATCACGACAACATTACGGTGTGTTCTAGTGCCAGCACACATCACATATATAAATGCACAGTCTGTTTCACATTTGACTTATTCAAAAATGAGTAGGCAAGCAATTTGCTAATACATTATGCACCTGAACAGTGTAAAAAGAGATGTGTTGAAACTGCCTTGGATTGTTCAAAACGGCAACTCACAGTGACATCGTACTCCAGCATCGTCATAGTGGGAGCAGTGACTGGTATCTCCAAAGCGAGAGGTGAGACAGGAGGTGAGGTTGTACTCTGTCCCGAAACACTGGACGTCATCCAACCAGATGGGCTGGCTAAACCCACCAGGTCCAAAGTATCCGTTGGAGAGGGCCTCAGTTGCAGAGTCAAAGCCCAGATTTCGACATACAACCTATGAATAACATTACAGTGAGAGATTATACTGCCTAAGTATGGTTTTGCTACTACTAATATCATTACACTTAACCCTTTAGTTGCAGATGCCTTAATAGTACATGGATCAGATTTCAAGCACGTCAAATGCTGTCAACAATACAAAATTCACTTCTTCAAACACTTTCTAGGGTTGTCGTCTAGGCCATCAGTCTATTTCACGTAGAATGACAACAGTGTGTTTCAAAATTAACCCTTAGCAAGCCTCGGTCATATATATAATTATATATATATATACACGTTGGAGACATATGTGACCGTGCACGCCAAAACCAACCTTACGCCGCATTTTTGTGAAGTAGCTTTTTTTGTTTCGTTGTAAAGCTTGAAATGTGCTTGATACAGCGCTTATTTTTGTATATTTTTCGGGAAAACCCTTTAAAAGTTACGATTTTTCAAACGCGGGCCACGCGGGGTTATACAAAACGCGAAATAGTCGAATGAAATTTTTCCGTATTCTTGTCCGCGTACGAATATGACGTCACGTTACGGGATTTTTCCCGGGAAATTTTTAGCCAACCAGTGTGAGAGTGCAGTTTGACAGCAGACGAACGCTTCTATCGGCCCTACCGGGCTGAGTAGACTTCAGGCTTCTCTGTGAGGCGATTCAAGGCAGAAGCAACGCTTTGACTTCTGTGCGCCATCTTTGCGTCAGCTGCATGTACCGTCGTGCTGTCACTCTTGTTAGACAGGTCGTTCGATCGTGTTTACAGTGAAAACTCCGGCCCGTGTGTGCTATGGATGCTGGTTCTAGATTCTAAACCAGGACAGCTTAGCCAGCTACGTGACTGTTGAGCCGTCTGCCGGCTCCCGTCTGTCTTGAGCCGTGCACACTAGGCTGCCGTATTTTTGAAGGCGGCAGCTTAGATGATCTACTCAGCAACCACTCCAAGTTCTTCAGGAACCTTGTGCCCGTGTGCGGAGTAAAGGAAAGTGACTGGTAGTCGCTGCATCTTTGTTGCCTAGTTTCGCGGGGGAAAACGGTGTGTACGAGATTTCCGTACACCCCCGCCGTGAGCGTCCGTGTCCGCTGCTCCGTTCACTGACCACCGCTACAGAGAAATAGCTTCTTTTCTGGCGAGAAGGCGTCCTAGGAGGCAGGAAAGGTACCAGTAGGTAGCTCTGACGGGAAGCTTTACTTATAGGCAAAAAAGTGGTTTTGCCTTACCGGTTGGTGTAGGCGTTATATTCACGCGTACTCGATAATTTAACATTGCGGTGTAAGGTTGGTTTTTGCGTGCACGGTCACATATACGTACGTCTAAAACGTACGTATGTGTCTATATATATATATATATATATTATATATATATATAATGCCCAGAGCCTCCATAAGTGCATATATGGCTATAATACTAGGCGTTAATATGTTATACATCAATTTCTGCATATTTAAGGAGATACATATGGCATCCAAAGGGTTTTAACTTAACAACCCGATATTAGTATATTAGGTGACATTTCCTATAAGAGATGCATGATAATTATACGTATCATACACAATGAGTCAAACCTCGGCGTCCCTGATGTCCCAGGAGTCGTCACAGATGGTGCCCCATGTACCGTTGAACAAGATCTCCACTCTCCCCTCACTCTCATTATTTCCTCCCACTATTCTCAGGTGAGTCTCTGGGGGCGGCGTCACATTATCTGGAGGACGCAACAAGCACTTATAAACATGTATGGATTAACCACCACTAACTACTGCAGGAAGTGTAGCTTCAGCAGTTATATCACTTATGTGGCGAACTCCATACAAGAGGCAATGTGGAAGATCTTCCTACATACACGTATGTAGTCAACATCAGAGGTAAAATGTTTAAAAAAATCACACAATTGTGTTTAATAAGACTGCTCTCAACTGCATGGCTCTGGCCCTCCACACTGTCAGTGTCTAGTCTACTGTCTTCCATTATCTCTTTGGGGCCCAAAGCCACTGGAGTGGCTTTTTACGTAGATAACGCGGAATACCAATGTAACGCATTGCGTTAGTAGCGTGTGCACCCGCTTGCCTTCTTTTTCTCTGGGAGAAAGCTCTCCTTTGCAACTGACCGCCTTCCTGCGACTTTGTTTTTCAATATTACCAACGCTAATGCACAACTAGAGCATGCCACACCTTCTGGTACTCGAGGGCGTGACTCGCGTGCGGTGCGCGCAGTCCGTACGTACGCGCGAACCACGCAGACTCGGAGGATCTGAGATACTCCCACTTTCTAGCCCACGCAACTGAGCTAACGCCTCCACAATGGCCATGAGACTCAGCAGTAATGCGGAAGTAAGTTTTTCAGTGGTGAAAATGAGCATTCCAGTTTTTTGCATTGCGCGTAATAATAACGTAACAATATAATTTGGGCCCCAAAGAGTTCTACACTCCTATAAACATTGACGTCTACACATAAACCGGGCATTTGTATTATTGTGTTTTCGCGTATGAGCCTGTAAAGTCAGTGCATCTGTAATTACCATTCATTTAGGGTCCCAACAGTCTGTAAATATACTCCTAGACTGTTGGGACCCTAAATGAATGGTAATGCGACTATCGCTGCTAAAAGCTCTGCTCATGTACATATTTCACCAAAAAAACTTACTTGAGCATCGGACACCAGCGTCTTCGTAGTGGCGACAGTTGTGGACACCATAACCCAAGTTGGAGCACTCAGAGAGAGAACTCTCCGTACCAACACAGGCCACATCATCCAGCCAGATTGGACCTGGAGGCAAATGAACAAGACACGATCGTCAGTTCTTTGTCCATTGAGCCTTATTAACCCTCGCCTGTGAGCATGCGCAGGCGAGGGTTATTGTAGTCGGTCTGTGTGTGTGTGCGTGTGTCCGTCCGTCTGTCCACCGTTTTTCTCCGTAACTACGGCAGCTCTGACATGAAACGTGGACATATTATCAAGTAGGAGGCATGCATGGTAAACTATGATTCTTGAGTGGAGAAGGCCGGGGAAGCTGGTGAAACGGACGGCTGCCGAGGTGAGTGTGCGTCAAATAGAGATCACGGACGATCGCTGTACTTTTAGATGCCAGATGCTTTGCGCATTTGGAGAATATTTGCTGTTCTGCCTGTATTGATGATTTAACAAGTATTCAAAGAAAGAATACAGCTGAAATTAGTAGATGGCTCAATTAAGTAAAGGAAGAGCCGTCTCTGATCTTTTCTGCCGTCACTGATCTGAGTGCTTTTCATTCTTCGTGTGGTTCTGGTCACCACACAATTTTGAATTTCGATGATATGTTGTACATATGTAACAGTCCTGGCTTGTACGTATATTATACTCCTAATCTGATGTGCCATGCTACAGAGCTAGTTGACAACTGTTTGACCTCTCTTTTATGCCTGTAAGCGGTCTACTATCAACTCTCATATGCACAATGAGGTGCTCGAAGCTGATACCAATTATACGTATACACATTGGCATGATACTGCATTTGTAGGTATGTAAGTATTAAAAATACACCAGTGTAAGACATCATTGGTTATATCAGAATCATAGTCAATTTTATGTGGTGTACACCATGTTTTAGCCTAGAGCTACTGTGTTCACTTTCACCACAAAAAGATAACAAGTCAACTAAACCCAGGGTAACTCTCAAGAGCCCACAACACACTCTAGTATAGGATAAAGTAATTGTACACAGAGAGGATTGCATAAGTAGAGGGATCTCTTTGGTACCAGGGGGGGTGTTAGTAGTGTGGGCTGGAACTCACCCTCACACACAGCCCCTGCATCTTCATAGTGACTGCAATCATGATTGCCCCAACCATTACTAGCACACAAATCTAGTGCAGTCTCCAGACCAGTACAGGCGACATTGTCCAGCCAGATGGTTCCAGTTCCTTGTCCAAACTCTGCTCTGACCGTAGCCCTGTTGGCTCGAGCATAGCCCAGCTGCACACATACCACCTGCAGTTGTGTATGGATCCATAAACCACTAGGTAACAATGTTACATATGCACATACGTCATTTTGCAGATCTGGTTCCAGAGATATTTTGCTGGGGGACAATCAGTTCATTTAAGATGGTCCTAGTAACAACTATTTGGGGGTATAAGTGTTCCATGCAAAGAATATTCATGGCATGAATAATGAGATAGAGGGACCATGTCCACCTGGTGCACTCTGGTGGTGCCAGCCCTGATACAATTCTATAATTCTAGCTAAGCACATTGAGCTAGTCGCTCGTCTTTGACTCCCGGGTGTGGGTGTGTGTGTGTAGGTTTTTTTTGCACAAAAATATCTCACGTTTGCAACAGTGACAGTCCAGCCATCGTCACAGACAGTTCCCCACTGTCCCAGGTTGTAGATTTCTACCCGACCTTCGTTAGGGCCATTTCCACCCACCAGACGAACAGGATGCTCAGACGTCGTGTAGTCTGCGTATGTATGTGTGTGAATACACATCAATACGTACATGTTAAGTTCATCATTTACAACTTTCATTTACAACCTTCATTGCTTTAGACATGAATGAGTAGGAGAGAATATTAGTGGTTTAATCACACAAAACCTCAAGACTATGATGAATAACTATATGTCATTATTGGGGACGAAGAAAGC